ATGTTTGGCCACTCACACCCAGACATCATTGCCGCAATTGAGAGTGTTACCAAGTCAGGGTTTACTCTCGGTGGACCAGGACCTAAAGAGGGCGAACTGGGAAAGTTGCTTGTGGACCGGTTTCCAAGTATCGACGCCATCAGGTTCTGTAACTCAGGTACAGAGGCTAACACCATGGCTATTGCTACTGCTCTGCACTTTATTGGGAGGAAGAAGGTAATAACTCTTTCAATCCCTACAAGACTTCGGGACTTTGTTAACAATTTCATCAGATTTTGGTTTTCGAAAATGGCTATCACGGCGGCACACTAGCCTTCACGCCAGGAAACCCGTTGATTCTCCCTCATGACTTCGTGCAAGGTCGATACAACGACATTGAGTACACCCGCCCTCTCATCACCGAAGAACTCGGCATCATTATCGTCGAGCCGCTGCAAGGCGCAGCCGGCATGTTCGCTGGAACGAAGGAATTCCTCCAGTTTCTCAGAGACGAGGCCACCCGCGTCGGCGCTATCTTGATCTTTGACGAAGTCATTACCTCGCGCCTCAACTACGGCGGTCTGCAAGAAATCCACGGAATTGTTCCCGACATGACGACAATCGGCAAGCACTTTGGAGGCGGCTTCTCCTTCGGTGCCTTTGGCGGAAAGAAGGAGATCATGGACCTGTACGACCCGTCGTCTCCCACGAGCCTGCATCACTCCGGCACCTGGAACAATAACAAATTCTCCATAACGGCAGGTGTTGCTGCGACGAAGCTTCTTTCGAGAGAAGCTCTCGATAAGAACAATGACCTTGGCAACAAGCTGAGGGACGGACTTGGCGCTCTTTTCAAGGCCAAGGATGAGTCGATACTTACTCTGAGTGGGTTCGGCAGTGTCATTGGAGTGCACTTCAACGGACCCTCGGCAGATAACCTGCGAGACTTGTTTTTCTTTTACATGCTGAGCAAGAGGATTTACGTCGGTCGTCGGGGTTTCCTTGCGCTGAACATTACCCACGAGGAGGAACATATCAACAGAGTGTTGGAAGTGGCGAAAGAATTTTGTGACGAAGTGTTGTAGGAGCGATTATATCGTCTCAAGTGCAATGAACCGTGTCCACTTGTAACTCATTGTGTTGATGATACCTGACTCGGGATGAAGTAGCAAGCTTACCCGTAATCTGATAAGACTTTTTCGGGCCTGGCATTGAATAAAATGACAGGTGACCCGCCATGCCCTTGCTCGAAATACCGATTTCCGGAGTCTTGACGGTGGTGCTCAGAGAGGAAGGTTGATAAGATGCAGGATCAAGGTCTCTTGGCGGGCTCAGAGTAACGTGGTAACCCCTTCGATCCCTGTTTATCGCAGCATATCAGCCTACCGCGCGGGGTAAACAGTGCCGAAGCGGCGCACGGCATCCGTGCTCTTAAGGACGCCTCGCCAACCAATTCAAACACTCATCCCTCACACCATCCTCAATCAGTCTGACGGAACGCAATTCGTCCGACTTCATTCACCTCCGCCCTAGGTTGTCCGACTGGTTTCCGGCTCTCCTCCGGCCGTCATCCACAATGCCGGACACCCGGCCCCGCCGCATGGCCCCACTCATCCAGCTCATCGCACTCCTCTCCCTTCATCCCGGCCATGTCTTCGGTCAATCCTCCCCGGGATTCCCCATGGTCATCAACACATGGGGCGGACCCTTCACTGCTGCCACCGACGCCGCGTACCAGGCGCTCTTGAAGCCGGGCACCTCGGCCCTCGACGCTGTCGAGATCGGCTGCGCGACCTGCGAAGCCAATCAGTGCGACGGCAGCGTCGGTTTCGGAGGGTCCCCGGGCGAGAACTGCGAGACGACTCTCGACGCCATGATCATGGATGGAGTAACCATGAAATCCGGCTCCGTCGCCGCCCTCCGCCGCGTCAAGAATGCGATTGGAGTGGCCCGCCATGTGCTCGAGTACACTTCGCACACCATGCTGGCCGGCGACTTCGCGACGGAGTTTGCCATCGAGAATGGCTTCACCGCGGAGACCCTATCAACTGAGGCATCCACCGAAAGATGTGCTGAATGGAAGAAGGGCAACTGCCAGTCAAACTATAGACAGAACGTCACCCCAGATCCAAAGACTGCGTGCGGCCCGTACACGCCCGTTGAGCTCGACTCCAGCTCTCCAGACTACTTCAACCTCATCGCGCCGAACTCCGCCCAAGCCTCTCACGACACCATCTCCATGACAGCCATCGACGCGAATGGAATCATGGCGGCGGGTACGTCGACGAACGGCGCTTCGTTCAAGGTTCCTGGGCGCGTGGGCGATGGGCCTATCACTGGCTCCGGCTCGTATGTTGACGGTGATGTCGGGGCTTGCGGCGCTACGGGTGATGGCGACATCATGATGAGGTTCCTGCCGTGTTATCAGGCTGTCGAGAGCATGAGGAGGGGCATGACCCCGGAGGAAGCAGCGCGAGATGCCGTCGTTCGCATGGTCAAGAAGTACCCGGCAGTATCAGCTGGCATCGTGGTGGTCAACAACAAGGGCGAGCATGCAGGGGCAGGTTCGGGTTGGACTTTCACCTATGCATACAGAGGCGGGACGATGAATGCGACGCAGGTTGTTACTGTGCCTCCGGTCGTTGTCGGTCGATCATTAACGGTCCAGATGCCTTAGAAAACAATTTGGTGCGAGATTTTACACACCTTTACTGATAATGAATACTGTTATCTTCGTGTATGTGAATTCCATAAACCATGTCAAACGTATTTGGTCCACTTCCTTGGCGTCGACAATCTCGCGTCACACCAAACAGACACGTTCATTGAGACTGCAACATTGGTCTTTTCTAAAAGATTTCGGGTGTCAGACTGGATCTGATTTATATACATCGCCATGAGACTCGGAGAGAGCCCTAAAGGTAAGGCTACCAAATGTACAAGTAGAAATGCAAAGCCATCCCAGATACTATCCACAAACAACTTCTATCTCAACACAGTCACCACCCTCGTGGCAACTTCACGCTTTTTCAACAATGAGAAAATCGGTTTGGTGTAGACTCAAGCGACAAGAGACGCTCAGTAGACGGGGACCTTGAAGGCGGGGAAGGTGTATGTCCAGCTATCAATGGACTTGGCGTCGTTGACGCAGTCAAAGTCGGAGCTGTTGCCCTTCCAGAGAGGGCGCGAGGGCCACTGGCAGAGCATCTGGGTCTCGCCGGCGTTGACGTTGGTGGAAGAGGTGACGGTGGCGTTGAGGCGGTCGGGCTTGTTACCGTTCTCGACCCAGTCGATCATGATGTTCATGTTGTTCTGGGGGTAGGGGCCGGGCTGGAGGCTGTTGGTGCCGCAGTGGCCGGCGCCGGGGACCAGGTAGAACTGGTACCAGTCCTGGAGAGCCTGCTGGGCGGCCTCGTCGGTCGCGTTGGGGTACATGATGGAGCGGACGGACTGCCAGTAGTGGACGGAGGAGGCGGCGGGGATGGAGGAGTCGGACTCGCCGTGGTAGTGGAGGAGCTTGCCGCCGGAGGACTGGAAGGTGCTCAGGTCGGGATAGGTGGTCTGGAGGGTGTCGTAGTAGCGCAGGAAGCCGGTGTTGATCCAGTCGACGAGGGTGTCGTAGGTGACGTTGTTCATATCGGAGAGGTTGTCGAGCTCGAGGAGCTGGATGAAGCGGGTGACGTACTCGCCGCCGGTGGAAGGGATGGAGAGCTCCCAGGCGCCGGTGTCAGAGTTGTAGACAGTAGCAGCGTCGCCGAGCTCGGAGCCGATCTGCCAAGAGAGGTAGGCGCGCTCGCCAGCGGAGTTGAAGATGCCGTCGTAAATGGCTTGGGCAACGGCGACACCCTCAGCGGAGACGGAGCCGTTCTGGGCGGGCTGGTAGCTGGTGGTGCTGCCGGCGGCCTGTCTCTTGTTGAGACCTCTCTTGTTGAAGCCGAAGCCGAGAGAGGTACTGTTCTTCTCAGCACAGTAGTAGGACTCGCCGATGACGGATTTCAGGTCGAAGTTAAGCTTGCAAAGGTCGGTACGGGAGATGACGCCATCGGTTCTTCCATCAAGAGAATCGCAGGCGGCGATGGTAGCGTTGACGATCTTGGCCAACTCGCAGGGAGGGGGCAGGTAGTCCTGAACATGCTCAACGGCAGAGGAGTAGACGTGGAGGACCTGCTGGTGGGCAAAGCGGAAAGCAGGGGCACCGGCAATGACACCGTCGTACTCCTCACCCCAGCGCTGGACCTGAGACATACCCTCACGACCACCGTCGGAGCAGCCCTCGTAGTAAGTGTAGACCTTCTGGTCATCGACCAAGCTGTAAAAGGTCTTGGAAACGGCCTTGCCGACCTGGGTCATCTCGCCCAGGGCCTGGTAGCCGAACATGTGGGTTGCATCCCAGTTGATGGAGCCGTTGCCGTAGAGAACCTGCGACATGTAGTCGTTGTTGAAGGCGTCGTATCCGGCGTCGGTGGCACCGGAAGCGGCGCCGTAGGCCAGACCGCCGGTGGCGTCGCTGGAGAGGGAGTAGCCACCTCCTCCGGCAACGTAGAAACGGTTCTTGAAGTCGTCGGGGCTGGGGAAGGCGTACTTGAGGACGACCTTGTCGCCGTGGCCGGTGTGGGTGTAGTGGACCGTCACGTTGCAGTAGCTGTAAGTGGCCGAGCTGCCGGAGGAAGCTCCACCCATGCCGCCGCCGCCGGTGGTGGCGTTGTAAACCACGGCCGCAGTGACGGTGGAAGGAAGAAGGTCGACTCCGAGAAGAGTGCCGTTCGCGGGGAGGGCGTTCTGGACGTTCTCGACGGTGCAGAGATCGGTGAGGGAAGCCGCGTTAGCAGCAGCCGCGAGGGCGCGGACAGCCGCCTTGGAGAGTTGAGGCATGTTGGTGAAGTTGAGATGGAAACGCCCTAGGATTATGGTTGAAACGAATGTGGATGGAGAGAAAGGGAAACAACCTGAGGTGGTGAAAAGCTTCAAGACCAGAAACACAAAGTTGGGACGACTGCTTTTATAAACATGCTCGTCGTTATTCAACCCTCGACGACGATGTCGCTGTCCGACAGTCCCCGTCGCATTGCGATCGAGAACATCCCCCCCACACATGTCCCGTAGGTACGCCTCATACACCTGTCCCAGCATCTGAAAGGTTAGCGTACTACTTGCGGGGCTTGGCTATATGGGAAGCCCCGCAAGAACCGCACTAACCTTTCAGATGCTTGGACAGGTGTAGTGCAGAGGCGCAGTAGGGCCGTGATCTGGAGCTCTCGCATCGGCCCCAGTTGGCCCGGTAGACATGATGGGGGCCGAGGAGCCCCTATGTCGGTAAGCTCCGTCCACGTCAGCCACGATGAACGGGAATGCCATATTGGCTGGTAAGGCTGGCAGGCTAGGAGTCGGGACGAACCTGGCTCGTGTGGAGACCCGTCTTTCCATTTGCCGGGACATGTTCCTTGCATTGAAATGTCTGATTTAGCACCTCGGGTACAACATCAGAAGACCGGGGTGCCACGTAACTCTGGTCCTGTACAATCTTCTGCGCTGTCTTTGTGGCAGTAACGCGTTACGCGTCTGCCCTTAGGGCCCTCAGCCATGTGTCTTACTTTGAGCCCTCTCAGAGGATAGCTCACGAGCAAGCTTCAACGGAATGATCTCACTACGCCCAAGTTCTACCCCAGCGGAAAGTTTTCTCCCCACAAATCACGCGGCATCCATGCCCGGAGAGCTTTTGGCCTTGGGGGCTAGAGCTTAAACCGAGTCAAGCTTGAGCAAGATAGTATACTAAGGTCGTAACCATTTTGTGGCGTAGATCACGGCGTAACGTGATGACGGTGCACTGTTCAAGTACACGATAGCCACAACAAACTCCCGAGCCAACATTGACCGCAGAAGTTTTCCTTCTCGGTGGAGCATCCTACACAGTTTCCTGTCTCTCGGATCCGAGAAACCCTCTTGTTTACGCTCTTCAGGTAAAATAGAGGATGCCTACGTGAGCCTTAAGATGAGTCGTGAGTCGTAAGCTTTTGTACAGCAGAGCCCTTCCTTCGGGACAACCCCACAAGAAGAAAGGTCTGGAAAGGGGCTTTTACGCCCATTACGACTTCGCGCTCTGCAGAAGCTCGACATGTATGGTCTTCGCCGCACCAAGTCTGCGGCCGATTCGGCACCGCCTTCGGGTTGTGGGCGTCGGTGAGCTCATGAACTGTCATCCACCGAGTAATTCTGCTCGCCTCTCCTGAGAATGTTCCGGTCTTCCAAGGCGGGTCATGCCGTCTTTCATCAAAATAGAGCTCAAAGTCGAAGAAAGACGGGGCCGCCGAGGACCCGCCCTTCCTCCGGTGGCAGAGAGTTAAATCCCATAGTGGGGCTAGTCCGAGGTGACATCGGAATCGTTGCCGATCATGAAGTGGGGTCTTCCCGAGCCTCTGAGCCAGTGACAATGCTTATTTACGGGCTGTGTCGGTAGGTTAACGAGACTGTAGGCGATTTGTACCACGCGGACGAACCGTAAGACGAGTCTCTACGAGTATGTATTTGATATAGGAAGCTTATTTTGGTAGTCAAAAGTTCGAACTTGTCGTCCTGATTATGGTAAGTCTCGCCTGCGAAACAGAATTCCACCGGCGCACAGCAGTCAGCTTGGTCCAACCTCCTTCAGAGCCCCTTTGACATCTTCTGAGCTTGGTGCCGAGCAGCTCATGACGTGTCGTGGTCGCCGATAAACTTGCCCAGGATACAACTTCCGAATGAGGTCAAGTATGGATGGATAGGTTGGAGCTGAATTTGGATACAATTGGGGCAGATGCATGAACGCAGTTCCAGACCGGAAGTTGCAACCATATTAAAGAAAATGACAGAGGCGGCGATGATGAGTGATCGACGCCGTCGCCCTTCAAATGAAGAACGTCCGTCGATGAAGGCGTGAGACTTCAATGTTCACAAATACTTCACAGAACGAGTTGATGCCGGCAGGAGAATGATGTCTTGTCTCGTGCAGAATCTCTCCTTCACGGTTCGTACACCTCAGTCGCGAGGTGTGAAATTTCGTGACTTGTACTGTCACTTGATGCCAGGCATGTGAGCACTCAGCAAGACCGCTCTGCGACGGCTACACAGATGCGAATAGGAGCTTAGGTCAACGACCACGCGCATTCTCCTATCTCTGAGCCAATCTTCATGTCTATTGGGAAGAATATGCAACGGAGTCAGAAGAAGGCCTGCTGAGACAGCATACCTACACATATGAAGTAGAATCAATCCAATAAAATACGCCTTGCGCAAAACAACGTGCGGGCTTTCAGTCGCGGACATGCATTTGGCTTGAAGTCGAATTCATCGCTGGAACCACGAAAGCTCGATTCTGAGAACACCACTTAAAGATAAAGAGGGTTGATAGCACCAAGTAAATCAAGGTAATACAGCAAATCATGTGATCACTGATATCCTGATGGGTCGGATCAAACCAACAGTTCATGGTGGATGCTGCGGTACCAACGAACTGCCCCGGTAAAGGCGGCTGCGTGAGAATGGAGCTTCGTGGCTGCAGGCGCTTCACCCGAGCACCTCCCACATTCCACCGACTCGACATAAGTGCTTGCTTCGAAATTCGAAGGTCCATTTTTGTATTTGAGGCACGGTATTACACTGCACAGCCGTGATTGTGCGATAAGGTGCCAAGCACGCAAGTGACCCTTCAAAGTCGTGACTGACGTTTTCTCACATGCCTGAACCTTCTTGCTAGCAAACTGAAGACTTACACCTTCCATCTCTGAGTTTTTTAACGTAAAAAGAAGCAAAATCACTTGGAATATTGCAGCTCCCGATCCAGTTGTCCTCGTATTGAATACGGAGATGGCATAGAGGGCTCCGGAGCTTCATCGTAACAACCTCGGTTATTTGAGGAGCCCCTTTGGGCTGAGTGTGCCAACAGGTATGAGTCAGAGATTTCGGAGAATTCATGCACCATAGTACTTGAACTGGCTGTACGGATAACGCTTCCAAGCAAAAGACTCCCGCTTTATCGCAAGCACGGAACTTGCCTCCCCAGCACATCACAGGTTTTGCACTTTTAAATTATCCGCCAAAGGCTTGAACTTCCATAAGCTTTGAGCAGCGTCAATAGGCACGTGAATGTGGGAGAATCTCTCTGCTTTCAGTGTACATCTTTGTGCGCCAAAGAGACCATGAGGGCCCCAGCTGTGATTCAGGGGTAATTTGAGTGGTGGCCAAAGTCCCAGACATGCTGGTCGCATTACTTTGACTACGCCCTATGCGCCACACCAGCGGTTCTCAGTCCTCGTCACAACTCAGAGCCATGGTCTTGTCGAATTCTCGCATTAATTACAATGCAGCTCCATGGATCAGTTGCGCATTTTGCAGCTTGTTGGTGGTGTCCCGGGCTCTCGGGTCGTCTGCGCCGTGTTGGTGAATCCCCGCCTGTAGGTTTGCTGCCAAGAGCAAACACACTCGATCCTTCACGGACACCTTGGCCCATGTGATGTCTGCAGGACATGCATCATCCCTGGGGAGCATAACACCATCGCGACCAAGCTCATAAGCTGCAAGATACTGCACTTTTATCAGTCGCCAGAGTGGATAAAGATCTCGATCACCAGGTTATATTTGCCCCGGTTCAACGACAGAAGCTGTTGAGCGGGAAACAATCAATCCCGAAGGCTGGGGAACACACGGCACCAGACTCATTTCCAAAGTCTCAGCTATAGGAAAGGCTTGATTGGTACTTAGTCAAGATGAGTGGTGTGCCCCTCTAACAAGCTGGATGACGGACTTTCAGGGGGTGAGAGGCATCGACGCTCTCTGTATGAGCTGTCGGAATCTCAGATTATCAGTGTCTGGACCGGCCGAATGTACGAAAGAGGAAGGTAGAAGGCCTCTTATTCGGCCCAAGCAGGCGTCGCGGTGCACTTGTCTTAAAACTATGACATGCAGATCTAATAACGCCCGTACTCACGGGAGACCGACAGCTAAAAGACCGGAAAAGGCTCCTCGCAGAACGATCATGTTTGTATCAATGATATAAATATTGGTAGCAATCCCATCAAATTGACTCTTTGGAGGCTGCAAATCTTTGAAGACACTTCTTTGCACAGCAAACCTCAAGCCTCCACCGCAAAATCAAGCTTCGTTCCATCCCATTCTACCTCTTTGTACTTTCAGCGATGCAGCTCATTCGAGTGATCATTACCTTGGGTGCCCTCGCTGCCCCTAGTCTTGCGGCACCCATCGACTCGAAGACCGATGTCAAGCCCCGATGGTTCGACCTCAGCCCCTCAATTGCCTCTTTCGGTGACGAAGGTCCGGTCGAGGACGCGGATGCTGGTACTTCTGACGAGGCAGCGGAAGCCAAGCGCAGATGGTTTGACCTGAGCCCTTCCATTGCCTCCTTTGGCGATGAGGGCCCGGTTGAAGATGCCGACGCCACTGAAGGTACCGAAGAGGCTGAAGCCAAGCGTAGATGGTTCGACTTGAGCCCGTCCATTGCCTCTTTTGGCGATGAAGGTCCGGTTGAGGATTCTGAGGCCGCTGAAGCTATCACCGAGTAAAGTAGGTCATCTGCTTTACCTCACAAAATCTGAGCTGTAAGTCTGACTGATATTCTGATAGTTTACTCAAAGGACGCGAATTACACAAGCCGCAACATGTCAAGACAGACTGTATGGACCTGGACGCCACAGTTTTATGGTGTCGCGGAAAATCGGCGGCTCGAAGGATGCATGGCGGGCTGAGTTAGTAGTTGGGCTTAGACAACTGTTCCATGAGATACCTGACCAATAATTCACTCGTTCCTGATAAAAGGCCTTCTAAAGTGTGATTTTGCGTGCCTCAAGATTGCAAGGTGCTAACAGATACCGCCATACTGTATCATTGAATCGTTGTCTACATCTCAAACGCTTCCCATCCACGTAGATCCATGCATTCCACTCACTCTTACCAAAGGCCTCAACCTTTCTAGAACCTTTCTAGGAGAAATCAACATCACAGATGATATTGTTATTTCCAAGCATATACCTCATGCCCATGTTCATAATTCGATATTGATCTCTTGCCTCATGTACAACGAGCCTCTGGACTTTCAGTTGCCATGCCCAGCGGTGGAGTCACCTTCCTCTTTTGCCTACGATTATGATTCCAAATGTCGTGATGAACAGCGGCACAGCTTTCCCCGCTTCCGTTGGAACTGGGATGCCCTCCAGCCATGATGGGCACAGAGGCTGTGCACCCTTAGCTGCTAAGCTGTAAATGGCTTCGTTAGCAGATGGTGCTGATCGAACAGACAGTTGCAAGTAAGTTTGGTCACCGAGTCTTCCAGGATACCCCACGCAATTTACCAACCTACCGGGTTCTGGAAACGATTGCGACGAGGTGGCGTATCTCAAACCTCGTCGGATGGCCCCTTTAGGAATGTACCCTCTTATCTGTTTGCTTGTTGTTGGAACCAACAAGACCTTGCGAACGTAGCCCGGTTTCCTGCAATTTCCCAAAAGTTGGAAGTTTGCTCTAGTCCCGCCGAAGGATTGAGGCGATGTCTTTGCGGGCGGTTGTAGCAAACATCTTCATCGGTCGATTGAGAGGTTGAATGTCAGGGCCGACTTGCGCCATCATCGCGGGGGTGTCGCAAGACCACTGAAGCTGTCCTACCCTTCTTTATTAGCCTTCTGTCTCTGTATATCAGAGAAACCTTACATGTCACACTGTCACGCCTCGATTGTCGTTGAAAACCTTTCAAACTTGCGTTTTTGGCCTTCATAGCACCCTTCGTCTTTCACCATGGGATCAGGCAAGCCTGAATCTAGCAGCTACAAGCTGTTGTCAGATGACGAGAGTTCGGTCGACAATGGCCACGTTTGCAGCCGGTGCGAATCCTCTATTTCGGACGATCGGGCCTGGAGGTCATTCTCGGCTTTGAAGCTTGTTCTGGCTTTTGTCTTGTGCCAAGTGCCCATTCTGCTTTTCAGCTTCGCGGTCTTCCGGTACATCCTTCAAAGCAACGAGAGAGGTAGCGACACGTACGACAAGAATGATTGTGAGTATCTTCATTTTGATGCTCAGCCTTCGTTATCGTCAGTCTAACGTCAAGCCTGGTAGACCTTGCATTCGAAACGTACAACGCGACCGGGACTCCGTACAGCATTGTCGACGCAGCGGATCCGTCGAAAGACGCGGACAAATTCTGGAATGATTTGAAGAGGTGTAGGAGCCCCCTGAGGAAATTAAATCCGCCATCATGACACTGAGCTGGACTTTGAACTCACGTCTCTTTTTCTTCAGACACCGGTATCATTACTGTAGACGACGCGTGGGCGGAGAGCAATAATCTCCCGCCCACTGTCAAATACACTCATGACCCGCAACTCCGAGTTTATCAAGTAGGCTACCATCTTCTTCTCTCTCACGAATGTGTAATAGCTAACCGTAACTCAGGTGAATGTCTTCCACTCTCTCCATTGCTTGGTATGAAGACTAAAGTTTTCCGATGGCCTTACTATAAAGCTAATGAAGGCAGTACCGCATCCGAAACAGACTGATCTCGAATGTGCCGATGGAAAAGTGGCCGCGCAATGACATCCACACAATGCATTGCGTGGACCATCTGAGAGAGGAGATTATGTGCAACGTCGGTAAGTGCATTTTTCTAGCCTTCACGAGATCTTCGACAATTCTTTCACGAAGATGTAGTCTGATCAAATCTCACAGACGTTTCGATGTCGGGGTCAAACGAGTTTGTTGCTTTCAATAATCACAACCATGACCGGAAGTGTCGAGACTTGGCCGCGGTGCAAAGGTGGGCCCAGGAACATACTTGGCTTGGCTATAAGGATTACCTTGAAGGTGTCATTGGATACGACGCCAATGAGGCCGAGCGAGTTAATATGGCACTTGCAGGAAAGGGTCAGTGGAACAAGGCGAACAGCACCCACAACAAGGAGACCGGGAAGATTGAAGCTTGGTTTGAGGATCACGAAATCTCCAGCGGACATTAGTTAATCCATTTTTAGATTTAATAGCTGAACGCTATGTCGAGCTTGAAATTTGAAGTATTTTGCGGTATCAGTCGAACTCATCCAGATGGATCGAACTCTTCAAGGAGAGAGAGACCCAACCCTTGCACAACCTAATGTGGAGCATGACCACGCATAACCTTATGCAAATTTCTACGTCATGCGCTTAGTCATCACAAATCCGATCGCAACCGACGCCAAGTTCTGTCGATTTGAACCCTCGCTCCAGAAACACGGACTTCGCCGGCAAAGGGAATGATGATTCGCAGTTGTAGCAACAAACAATGACGAGGCGTCGCGATGACGACACCACCACCTACGACCCATACACCGGCCTGCTGCCCGTCCTCCCGCCGGACGCGCAGCTCCCGGACAAGAACCCGCGCAGCAACGCCGCGACCGCGGCATCGGCAGCCGGCGTCCGCGCCCTGAGCGCCCAGGTCGTCGCCTTCTACTTCCGTGCCCCGGTCAAGGCCTTCTTCCGCACCCGCGTCGACTACCTCGCCTACGCCCGCAGTGTGCACCAGGCGCAGACCGAGCTCCTTGCGCAGGCTGCTGCAAAGGAAGGCGGCTCACGGCTTCATCTCGGGCTGCGCCAGGCATGGTTCTACCTGAGGGGTACGACGCCCGGTGTCCTCACCTCCGCTGTCAAGCAACATGGCTGGGGCGTTCTCCCGCATCAGGTACTGCCGCCGCTCATCGCGAACGTCGGCGTCGGAGCGGTGCTGTATACCAGCTACCTCACGATCCTGGGAGCCCTTCATGAGCCGAGCAGCAAGTCAAGAAAGACGGTCTACCCTCCGCCGCAGCCTTACCAAACGTTCACGGCGGGATTGCTCGCTGGAGGCCTGCAGAGCTTTGTCGCTGCGCCCTTGGATGCCATCCAAGCGAGGTATGACCATCGGGATCTCATGACTGGTCAGGGAGGGAAGCCAAAGAGCATGTGGACCTTTAGCGCGGAAAAGCTGAGGGAAATCGGACCGCGGGGTATCTTTGCAGGCTGGGGCTTGTCTCTCACCAAGGACAGTCTGGGAAGTGCCATTTTCTTCAGCGTTTTCGAATACGTAAAGGCACAGGGCTACTACAAGTTTGTGTCCTGGTATTACGGCGGGTTGGAAGAGCACATAGTCGACTTCATGGCCCAGAAGCGACCAACGACCAAGGAAGCCCTTGGGGAGAACAACCAACCACTCATCATCCGCCCTCACTACGCCATCGAGCCAGCGTTTCTTCTACTCGCCGGCATCACCGCCTCAATCACCCAACAAGTCGTCCTTCACCCATTAACGCATGTGCAAGTAGAGCATTGGGATCGATTAGAAGAACTAGACGCCAAAGCCGCCAAACTCCGAGAACTTAAGGGCGCAGACCCAAACCATCAGAAACAGGGCTGGAGGATGTTCAGGGCCTACTATCGCGCGTATCAAGAAACGTGGTCGGAATGTTGCTTGGAGGCGCAAAAGGAAGGGCTGAGCATGCGGCGATGGCTGTGGCGCGGTTTCTGGTGGAACACGATTCGCCAGGTGCCGAGCACCAGCGCAGGGTTGATCATTTTCGAGTTGGTGCGGCGCAAGTACGGGCTGGGCAACGAGGAGGTTCGGATCATGGGCGACGGGTACGATATCCTACTAAACTAGAACATTTGGCGGGGAGCGGCGTGCGAGGCGTTTGTGAGACTATGTCGACGATTCTCGACTCTGTTACTGCTTCTGAAAGTGTGTACCACATAGACCAAGAGATTATTTTCCTCTCTTCATGTAGGTGCTCGCCGAGGAGAAATGTGATCTTAAGGCTCGGTTTGATGCCGAGACCGGGTAATCATTTCCAGCTTGCTGCATGGCTGCATGTTGGGCTGATGCGATCAATAAGGTTGCGGCGTTTGCGTCGGACAACCTGGGGAAGTGGAGAACTGTGGTTCATCGGATGACGTCGAAGGGTTGGGCAGCTTTTAGGTTCTGGAAGAGCAACGGGCCCCTCACTTTGTTCTGACAACAACCTCAAAGTATTGGATTACTGAGAGGCTGCTAGGATCGAACAATTCACGATGGCAAACATACCTGCATCCGACAATGTTGTGCGCGTGAAGTTGATCGACACGTCCACCGCCATGGTCGGGGACATGACCGCCTTCGCTAGGCCAGTGGTAGCGGGGCATGAGGTCATCAACTTCTGTTCACTGGCTTTTCTTCTCGAGAATGAAAAGTTGGGAAAGAAGGCACTATTCGACTTGGGCACGCGCAAGGATTACTGGAAGCTGCCCAAGGCCGTGCTCCAGCTGATCGGGAAAGGATGTGTGATTTTCGGCATGAGAGTTGATGAGGGCATTGATGAAGTGCTCACGAAGGGGGGCGTTGACTTGAACACTATTGGTAAGTATCAGAAGCCATGAGAAAATCATGCGACTAGATATTTACTCGGAAACAGACAGCTGTATTTGGTCGCATGCTCATTTTGACCATCGCGGTGACATGGCCCTATTCCCCAAATCTACGAAGCTGGTCATGGGTCCCGGGTATCTTTCTGATAAAGAAAGACCTGGAGGAGTCGGTGATCCAGAGGCCGCGGCAGAGTTCGACGGCAGGCCGCTGGAGGAAGCGAGATTTGACAGCGGCTTGATGATTGGAAAGTTCAGGGCTCAGGACTTCTTTGGTGACGGGTCGCTCTACCTTCTTGACGCCCCTGGTCACCAGCCAGAGCACATTTGTGCACTCGCACGAACGACTCCATCCTCAGCACCAGGCGGGGCATCTTTCGTGTTCTTGGGCGGCGACATCTGCCACTTTGCGGGCGTCTTCCGCCCAACGGCAGATACGCCGCTACCGAAGGAAATCCCCGCAAGCGCTATCTCGCTCCGCAATGACTGGGCTTCGAGATCGGTTTGCCCGTGCTCCTTCTTCACCCCTCATCACCCTCGTGCGAAGGATGAAGACTCCGCTCGCACCTCCTCGTGGTACAATCTCCCTGATGGCGGGCATGTATACACGGATTTCGAGAAAGCATCCGCCTCGGTGTCGAGAATGAGTGAGCTTGACACGAGAGATGATGTGATGGTCTGCCTTGCTCACGACGCAAGCTTACTCGATGTCCTGCCTGTTTTCAACAAGGATCCTACGAGAGACATCAATGACTGGAAGAAGGAGGGCTGGAAGGCAACCACGTATTGGAGCTGGTTGAACGAGGTGGCCGTTGACGGGAAAAAGCCCCGAGAACCCGTTGTGGACGGTTTCTGGAAGGATGGGAAGCAATGGGACTTCGAGGCGTATAAGTCTGCTCTTTGAAGGAGGGCTTTGCGCCGTACGAATCAATCTTCCGTAATTAATTTTACTGCATTCACGGATTGGAGAGATGGTAGAGAATTCGATCGTTATTCGTAACCTATCTTCCGTGGCTAGTCTGAATCCATCCCAGTCAGATCAACCACCTCTATTTCGCGATTTCCGTACGCAAGTGTCTCGGTTTTCGGCTTTGAAAACTCCAATCCGCTGCCACGCCTGTTGCGTCTAGAAGCCACTTCGATGCTTGGAGACGAGCAAATTTCGTCTCCTGAACTACTGTCACAGTTCATGGCGTCCGGACTTTCCCCAGTGGTGGCATCGAGGGAGCATTCGTCCGTGAAGTGCGAGTCCCCGAATCTGCTTACTCGCGTGCCAATTGATGTCGGATGGTCTGTCTCTTGTGCTAGCGACGCATTCAGCATCTGCGTTCGACGAGAATCTGGCGGCAGGCTCTGATCCGAACTGCTCTTGCCGTCCGTCTTGATGTCTACCCCCGGCATGAAGGCTTGTAAGCCACCGCCCATGAGTCGATCGATCCAGTTCAAAGTGTGCATGTCATCCGTCGTCAGTAGGTCAACCAGTAATAAGCCGACGATGATCACCGTCCATGTCGTAGTCCAGAATGACACTCGTGAGATGCAGGCCATGGTCATAAACTCTGCCAAGGCAACGATTCGCCAACGCTTCGGGAACCCGTCCTTCCAGAGCCGAATTGCATCAGAAGCGACCCTTTCGACAGTCAATGGCGAAGTGAAGACGCTCCAACGTCTCGCCAGTTCCCAGTGGTTGAATTCTTTCTCGCTGCCGCTGAATCTGCCCATGTTTTGCAATCGCTGGCCCCAGCCGGGCAAGATCTTGCCGTCGGAGGCCCAAGGTTGTTCTCGGCAAAAGTCTCTCCACCGTTCAAAAACTTGGACCGCATAGTCCTCGCTCACGTCGAAGTACTCCTTATGCCTGGCTCCGCAATTACAGACCCATTGATGCTGGAAGTTGGCCAGCTCCGCGTGAATGAGTTTCTCCGCAAACCCGTGGAAGTTGATCTCTTCAGCCACTGCACTGGCATGCTCTTCAACCTCCACGTGAGCGCAAACGCCTTTGATCTGGGAACGGCGCCGGTCAGGATGTTTCTGTGTCCTCCCAATCTTAAGAAGTTCGACGTCGGTCTCCGTAGACTTGATTTTGTACAAGTAGATGGATCCAATTTGCGTCTCTTTCCCCTTATAGGAAGGGCCATCCTTAATGAGCTTTGCTAGATTTCGATCGATCTGAAAACTCGAGAGCTTCTTTCGGGCAGAGCCAACATCGCTTGTGCTTCTTTCGGGCAGATCCGGGCGCTGCTGACGTCTTTCTACCTCGTCACCCATTTCCGGCAAGGTGTGAGAAGCTCCAAGTGGCGGTCTAGATTCATTGCTTGGTGTTCTCCTTTGTTGAACCGGCGGAGGTTCTAAGGCGTGAGAGGACCCCGATGAAATTGACCTGACTCTAGGAGTTGGTTTTCGGCTTGATGTGTCGATCTCAATATCGGCCCTCTGAAAGGATCCGACACATATCAAGTCTTCATTGCAAGAAGTCTCGATATTTTTTGCCGAAAGTTGACTTGAAGTACGCTTTCGTACCCTGTGAGGGGCCAGGCCGGGTTGGGTCGGGGCTAGCGGAGATGACTTGGAGCTCAGTTGATTTGTGTCTACGGCATGGCTCCGTCGTCTAGGATTCCCGATAGATGGCCGAGGCGGCGGAGGTCGCTTCTTGACGTCTTGAGAGCCATTATTCTGGCCATTAGATGAAGATTCGAATGACATCATCTCGCAGTGAATGAAAATGGGCGTTTAAAATGATCTCGACGATGCCGTATGGCTTTGGTGCATCTTATCACGGCAGGTTCCTATCCTTAAATACGTGGGTTCTGAACATCTCAAGGCAGACTCGGTCGGGGCTGGCGAGTAATGAAACGCTGTTGGTGACCAGGGTTGAGGGCGGTTATGTTGGTTTGGGGAACTGCGCCTCCCCTTGTTGGCCCGTATTTGGCGATAACCTCCGCTTCTGCATATCGAATCTTGACTGTTACCAACACAAAATGCACACTCCTATCATTGCGGACCATTGGGGTCCGTTTCAAAACCCTGTCTTCTAGCACGCAATGCCACGATGCCTTGCTGCATGGCATCCGCAGCATGCTTGTCTTGAGGGGCTGGTGTGCGCGGGCCAGAACAACGGCCGGCCAGGGGAATGAGGGCAGTGCGTGAAGGAGGCCGCCATCATTCCTAGCCTCTGTGTTGACGCTGTTGTCAACGCCCGGTTAAAAGTGAAAAATCGTGCTATTATTTCCAGGCCTGGAAAGTTTAATGTTGCCGTGTGTGGCATCTTACATGCCTCCTTTGTAGTATGAAATTGTTGCCATCGTTCAATCCGTACTAAAGAGTTTAAAGCTCTTTGGCTCATCACAAGGCTTCCGCTATGCCCATATTGGTATAGCTTACGGGAAGTGGCTGAGCTAACTAGTTCTTTTCCCAAAACCGCAGAGTCGTTACTTCCGACAACGCCAGATCTGACTAAACAAATGTGCAATGAGCAGTCTCACCTCGCCTCGGGATGCCACCATTTCAAGGTGCCCTGAGCATGGAAAATGACGGGTTGATCATACCTACGTTGCGCGATTACTAGCAGACCTTGTAGAATGTATTTCAAGCGAGAATCCATCCATGGGCGTCATTTTCTGCTATCTTAAGAGATTTTTCAGCTTCCCACGCGACGCCAACAGAGTGGATTGACGGAAGGGTCTTCGGCCTGTCCTACATGGCTTTTTCGTGAGTTCTTGGGTGATGCAAGGGCATCATAGGCTATTCATAAACGTACTCCTAAGGTATAGATTGGCCTCATCACTGGCGTGCGTGAGCGTGGAGGCTCTTGGGTCCGGTTTACAGCTGTATCTGCCTCATCGTAAACTATACCTAATTCGGCACGCCTATTAAGAGGCAGGTCCCGACGCCATGGTCGAAGGATTCAGGGATCAGCGTCTGTGTGAAGGCTTGTTTCTCCAACGCTCGCCTAGATGGCGTGTATCTCAGTCACCATTAGCTGGTAAGTGCCGAGGCAGATCTGGAAGAGTATCTATTCATGATGTTGGAAAATTGATATAAACCTCCTAACCTCGCAGTTATTTTTCACCTTTGGCTCATCTCGATTACAACCTCATCAGCAATAATCTTTCATCCAACTTATCTAAAATCATGCATCTTTTGCTTCCAATCCTATCCTTCGCGGCTTTCACGCTGGCGGCTCCTGCAGGCAACTTGCCGGTGGTGGATCTAACCTACGTATGCAGTCCCAAATACTGATAACTTTTGACGTTGCTGAGCCTTGATGATGCTGACATTCTCCCAGGCATCATATCGAGCAAACAGTTTCAATGTAAGTTTTAAATAACCCTGATGCCGGCTATCAGCAACTGACTTACATCCAGGAGACTGGTGGCTATTACAACTTCTCGAACATCCGCTACGCAGCGCCGCCCACGGGACATTTCCGCTTTCGTGAACCAATTGCGCCTACCGGACGGCAATGCCACGTCGACGACGGGGACATTGGGCACGTGTGCCCTCAATCTTCCGGAAATTGGTCTCTCATAGCTAGCCAGTTCTCGAAAGCCTATCTCAACGGCCAACCGTTCGACTACAATGCCGCGATGGCTGCCGTCCCCAAGAGTGATGCCATCGTCAGCGCAGATTCCCGCACCACCGAAGATTGCCTCTTCCTCGACGTCATTACACCTCAGGCGGGGTTTGCCAAGAACGAGAATCGCTTGCCGGTCTTGATCTATGTAAGTCACGACTTGTCTTCATGAATTCGATTTCTCAATCGGCAAGCTAACTCGCTTTCTTTGCAGGTCTATGGCGGTGGCTACTCGAGCGGCGACAAGACAGGTGACGGCGACTTCAACCCCGCCGAGCTTCTGAGAATCAGTAACTCGGGCTTTGTCTACGTCTCCATCAACTATCGACTCGGCGCCCTCGGTTGGCTCGCAGGCAAGGATGTCTCTGCTAATGGGACCCTGAATGCAGGGCTCTATGACCAACGACTGGCTTTTGAATGGGTTCAACAGCACATCCACCTCTTCGGGGGCGACAAACACAGAGTTACTGTCATGGGAGGTTCAGCAGGTGCCGGGTCAATCATGCATCATCTGACAGCCTTCGGTGGTCACAAGAACGAGTCTCTCTTCAGCCAAGCCATCCTTCTCTCACCCGCATTCCTCCCTTCGCCGACGATGATCAGCGCTAAAAGAGCTTTTAGCAACTTCCTTGCCCTCTTAAACGTCACATCTCTCAGCGAAGCCCGCAAGTTGCCTGGCGAAGCTCTCATCGCCGCCAACGCCTTGCAAATCTACAGCGAGGCATCCTATGGAAGCAATATCTATGGACCCGTCGTGGACGGCACTCTCGCTCCAGCTCTGCCTGGTCAACTACTTCTGAACGGGACATTCAACAAGGACGTCAGGATCATGACGATGCACAACACTTTGGAGGGTCTGACCTTCACCAACCCAACGATCAACTCGTCCGCCGACTACCTCACCACGGTCACGTCATCTTTCCCAACGATCTCAAAAGACGCGCTGAAGTTCATCAACACAACCCTATATCCTCCCGTGTTTGATGGATCTTTGGGATACAAAGACGAATTTCAGCGGGCCCTGGGCACAGTTGAGGACGTCAACATCATTTGCAACACCCACTACATTGCCCAGGCGTTCAGTAATCAGGCTTATGCATGTAAGTGGCACCATTCACGCATTTGATTCCCATACTTCCTTGCCTTCAACGCATGTAGCCTCGGCACTTAAGCTTTACTAATATACTTGAAATCCAGTGCGGTTTGCAGTCCCTCCTGGAACCCATGGCCAGCAGACACCTTACGTCTTCCGAAACGGTGCACCAAGCGGCGTCGTCCCGTCCGTAGCTGACGCTCTCCAACAGTACATCGTCAGCTTCGTCACTAAGTCGGTACCAACTTCGTCGAACGGCACTGAGATGCCTATGTACGGTGCAGAATCCGTGTTGGTCAATCTTGCAACCAATGGGACCTCTTTGCAAAAGGATGACACAGCAAACCAGAGGTGCACATGGTGGCAAAAAGGGCCGTTCGCCTAATGTCTCTGCGACTGACATACCCTATACGATGTTTTCCAGGATGTCGTAAGCCTTCGAGAGCAATGCCGCATGTACGACAAATAAGAGAGGCGGTCTTACAGACTGTCTACCAGAAGGGGATATATGTTGTAATTACGTACTGTGAGAATTGATGGTTGTTCACGTCATAATCTTTGTTCCGATTCATCAGATTGGACGTCTTCGTAGCGTGTGCCCACCCGATTAATACGGTGCTGACAACTTGAGGGTGTGATGCAGGTCACTGCCATCTCCGTATGTGTGGCTGTCTACGTCTGCCAAGACTGCCGCATGCTGTGCCATAACTCAGCCGACGGTCAATCTAAAGACGTTGTCTCCACGATTCTCGTAATTCATGACTTTCTCAACTGCTTAAAAAGAAAATGGTGAGATGCCGGTTACTCTCACAGCACCTCAAACTTTGAACCCCTCCCCCCCCCCTTCGAGTACCTACAGTAACAACCGATAATCTAAGCAACATGAAACAAAATACACTGGAGTCGGAGCATGAGCATGTGTGTTCGACCTCAATTTCGGCAATGCTAACGTTCAGAAGGAACGAGGGCAAGACGAATAACTCACACGAGGTCACGCCCTTGGAAAAGCTAGACGGCGACTCGCCGCAATGGATTGACTGTCCGTACTGCTGCAAACGGGCACAAACTTCAGTCTCCAAGACAGGGACAAAACGCCAGCTGCAAGATTTGAATGCGTGCAATATTGCTGCGTAAGACAGACTGTTAACCAGAAAACAGGCTTCTTCGAGTGGTATCAGGTTTCTTCTTCTTCGCCGTACTCTGTGTTCCAGGTGCCATAGGATGGCTTGAGGATGTACACTATGAATGCGCCGAATGCCACAGGACTGTTGCAACGAGGCCACATAAAGGGCCAATGAAGATCTACAATCCTGCTAAGGAAAGTAGGAAAAAGGAACACGAAGAGCATATGTGATCAAATGGTACAGCTCTTTTTCGAGAAACAAAATGTCGAAATACGTTGTTGCAGTAAAGCCTTTTGCATTTCACTACGTCTCTGTTCTGTGTTTCTTAGCCACGAAGTAATATTTAAACCTCATATAACACCTACAGGTGCTAAAATATCATAGCGTAGTCGAAGGCGACTTGAAAATTTGACGTTTAATCCGCTAGACTAGCTTTCTCTTCGGTGTTGGCCGGATTAATTAATTTGAAAGTAGGAGAAATGGCGTGGAAACGAGGAAACGAGGAAACGACGGCAACTTTTCCTGGCATACTTGACTAATCGGTCAGGCTAATACAAACCCCTTGGCCACACAATTTCCTTCGTCAAAGTCCTTGAGTACCTCCCCTTTCATGATTCCGGACACATATGTCTCACCCACAACCTCGTAGTGACCTGACCCACGGCCTCTCAATATAAACGGCACGTGAGAGCCGAACAGAACGACGACGTCATCACCAGTCTGCGCCCCGATTGGCGCGAGGCCCATGTAGCCTTTCTTAGTGATAAAGAATCGGCGGCCCAGGGCGTATTTCTCCAACTGAAAGTCGTTTTCTTCACTTTGTAATTGAGATATGATCGAAGGCACTTCTCCATAGACCTCGAAAGCTAGTTTCTGCAGCCGAGCACTTTGGTTTCTATCAGGTGTATGCAAGCCGTTTTCCCACTTGTACCGGCGAGATCGTGTACTTTCTTCCAGTGCCTTGTCGTCGAATTGACGGCGACTCTCCCAATAAGGATCTGGTACAACGCTGGGGAGGCTGAAGGGGCGATGGTAGAGGTCATACGGCTGCAGACTCCACATGTTCGCCAGCTTTTGGAAGCTAGTCTTGAGCTCCTGTAGTTCTTCGTCTGATGCGGCCAAAGGCGGAAGGTCGGCAAGGAGAAGAGGCCCTCTCATGCTACTTCCTAGAATATCTTTCAGCTCTTGAGTTCGAGTGCTGAGTAAGTCTTGACGTTCTGCTTGGTCTGCTTGCTTTGGATTTCGGAACGTGACAGGCGCCTCCGTTCTTGTCCTTGTCTTGGGAACTTTAGGAAGGCAACTTTCGAAATTGCTGACCGAGTCCACCTCCTGTCCCACAACGAGAGTATTCCAAAATGCTGCGTGTTCAGCCTCTTTGGAGGGGTACGGAGAATTAATCCGTCGGGAATCCAGAGCCAACTGCTTGCATTGCCCAACAGCAACGATAAACTCTGTTGACCTTTCCCAGTGTGAATACAAGTCTTCTGGAAAGGGTGCGTGTAAAATGTCAATTTCATCCCAAATTATTCCCTCCACGAGTGCCGTACCCATGTCTTCATCCGCGACGGGGGTGGACTTGGGGCCAATACCAGCGGCGTACACAGGCCTCTTTGGCTGGTCTTCGTCTAACCAGTTGCGAATAAATGAGAATCGAGCAAGCTTCTCGTTTGCTTTGGCAGTGTGTTCAATAATTTGGTGCATGTCGAGGTTGGCGTTCGGGTCGATGTAGTGCTCGTCATGAATACCTGCAAACAAGAGCTTGCCAGTGTTAACCATGCTTTGGAGCTCATCCACCATCTCACGGGGGTAATACTTGATCCACTGTTGAGGATCATTGACCATCTTTCGTCCTTCCAACACTTCTTGCGACTGCTTCTCAGCCAGCTCGTACGTCATTGGGAACATTGTTCTAGCCACGCTTTCATCCTCTTGAGTCAACGGTGGCACCGCCCACCAAGGAATAATGTCGTGGGCGTCTCCATCCCGCTTTGGCAGAGGTACTTCGTGACGTCGGCGAGACCAGTCTGGGACCCAGGATGGCAAAGTGCGTTTCGCGATCTTCTCATTGGTCGAAACTCCTGTGCAATGTCTCAATACCTCTAGGCCTGGTGAACTTTCCACCATCCTGCCAGCGAACTTGGTATAGATTCTTTCCACGGTCTTTTCGTAGTCAACAACGAATCCCTTAAGAATGTCGTCGGTGGGCCTCATTTTCAACCCCAAGATAGCAAAGATCTTGTCCCGAGGGTCGGTTGCGTCGAAGTGACGATATTCCACGACCCACCTCAACACGTCTCCTTCGTGGCATTCATCCTGGTGACTTTTAAGTCGAAGTCGACTGGAGCTCCAGCGCACGTAATCCAAATGTAGAACCTTGTCAACTCCAACAATGTTTTGACGAAGCAGGGACACGTCGATCTTGATCCTTGCGCAGGCCACGACTAGCTGATTCCACGGGATCAATCGACTTCCACAGCGAAGTGTCACCGCGTTCGAACTCGTCATCTTCCTGGTCCCGCCGCCCCAACAAATTTCTTGTACAATCCACACGCGGTTCCACCATGCCCTCTTAAACAGGCTCTCCATTGCGTCGCACATCTTTTGAGTGAGCCGGGGCATGCTGGTGTACGGAATCTTGCTCCCGAGCGCTCCAAGCACATCAATGGCAAAATCACTGTCGTCTCTTTCCTTCCCAAGCCAGATGTTGACAGCGTTGCATTCGTAGTAAATGAGATTCATGATGGGGACTTGGATGTTTCGTTCTGCAATATCCTGCTGATTGATGCAAACCGCATCTGCCCAAAGGATCACCTCCCCGTCGGTCTCACGTCGATGCCGGAGGAATGAAGCCAGATTTGGGATAATTTCGATGTAAGTGCTATCGTGAACTAGGAGAACTTCGCTTGGAGTCTCCGCTCCCCAGGTGTAAGAAAGGGTTTCATAGCTCATATCTCCGTTCACATCCAGATCTGATGTTTCCAAGCGACACCGGAGCGGTTCCGTTGGGCCATCAGCCGGCAAAAGATGTAGAAGACGGATCTCAAGCGACTTTCATCCCAGAGAAGCGGCGTGTATTGGTATGGTTGGGATGCGTTGGCCAGCAAAGATTGCCCCGAGTTCGCGTTCGCGGGCTTCATATTGTACGCTGAGGGAAAGGATCAAGAAGTATCAGCGATTTCAAAGGGTACATTTGACCTACTTCTAAGACAGATGAACAAGAAACTGATAGTTCAAATAGCTCAGGATGCCGCTACAACCGCTTAAATTCTCGAAAGCGTACAACTTGCCGCCAACACCAACGGATGCGACCCTTTCTTATGCAGGCCACAGAACCAACAGCATGAAAACCGACCAATCATCGACTTTTTACGTTTCATGTAGTCAATCATTTGACAAGAGATAAGAGGGGATGGCGATTGCTGCCTACATAGACAAGTCAAAGTCTACCCACCTTCACTGCGGAAAGATTCTCAACGGACGCTGCACCTTGTTCGGTGCGAGGCATGAGGTAAGCTGTATAATTTGAAATGACTTAGAAGCGAATTACGATGTCTCCGCATAAATTCTCTGGCAGAATGTTGTCTGGCAATGCTCCGAAGGCCTCTGGAAGCCAGTCGTTGGGGCCAAATTAGCAGCTTTTCAAACGCCGAATGGTACCAAACTTCTGCATTGGCCGACTGGAATAGCTTGAGACACTATCAAAAAAAAGTTCCTTATTTGACGCGACTGCTGTGAAGTGAATAAATAGTTTTTGTGTGACCGATCAAGCTTGCGCTTTTAGTCACCACTTACAACTGACGAGGACGTTGTTGAGCAGATACGGCAGCGCGTGCGTCAGCATGCCGTCCAGAACACAGATTGATATCGAGGCTTGTGATACACAAACAGATTCGAAATTGCGGTTCGCAAATCCGGTGAGGTCAAATCTCAAGTCTACACGCTTCCAAAGGCTAACGAAGACTACTTCAGGGTCCATTCGGCTATGGCGCCTTCTCAACGACATTGATGACCCTATCTCTGTCCATGATGGGCATTCGGAATGTTGAGAATCAGACCGTCTTCATAGCGAATCTCTGTTTCCTTGCTGGGATAGGCTTGCTCATCTCTGCGCAGTGGGAAATGGTCAGGGGCAACACGTTTGCTTACACGACCTTGATTGCATTTGGTAAGTCTACCTCCTATAGTATCTTCAACGCTGTTACTGACGACCAAAGCCTTTTACTACGGTGGCTACGGGTTTCTTCTCATCCCCTCTGTAGGCATCGTGGATGGTTATGGAGGCAAGACGGCGGAATACTTCAATGCTTTAGGGTTCTATCTTGCTGGTATTTTATCCTATCTCTCAAGCTGAAGGAAGTGATAATAACATGGTGACCCAGTGTGGTCGCTTTTCAACCTCTTTTTCTTTATTGCCGCCTTTTCAACGCAAGTTGCCCCCGGTGAACCGCTTTACTCATGTTCCATGCTGACCGTGGCGAAATTGAAGCAATATCGCAAATGTTATCGTGTACGGCGCACTCGAGCTCTCCTACATTTTCAACTGCGCCGCAAACTTCGCCTTTGCAGATGACCACACAGCATCCGGCAAGAGCTTGACGAAAGTCGCCGGATCTTTCGGATTCATTGCCGCGCTGGCGGGATTCTATGCCATGGCAAACGGCTTCTGCGGCGATGTGCTGCCGTTTGAGATACCGTTAGGCGATCTCTCGCGGTTCTTTGCGAGAAGAAAACTGCGTGGCACCAGAAGAAAAGCCACGTGAGGTTCGGAGTAGAACACGCCGTTCTTCGTCGTCTGCCCGGCCAAACGCCGTTTGCTGCCGATGGCCGAACGGCGCCGGGGATCCACAATCGATCGGCTTCTGCCGAGCCCTGCATCGGGATTTGGCGTCTCATCCGCATTATTCAGTTTGGTTGTCTGGTTTTATGAAATGGCCATATGAGCAGATAGTCTGCAGCAAGTATCATAGAATGACTAGTTGCGTTTCTTCATTATGCTTCTTGTCCCCGTCCAAAGTCTTCAGTCTCCTGCACAGAATAGCTCCGGTGCAGCTTCCGGTATTTAACACGGTAGTTTCAAGCCTCTCAACGCACTCTCGATGTCATATGGAATTGACCTACGCTTTTTGAAGGCCCATGGAGCCGAACTTCGACGGAGTCAACGAAGCATGCCCGCTGCTCATCCCACTTGTGGGACACAGGCCTCCATCATGTTAAGCAACGACTCGGCTCTAGACTATTCCGAGTGATCCCAAAGAGAGGATAGGAGCGTGGTGGCAAGCCGCCCTCCCGATCCCGCCCTCCAAAGCCGAAGCCGAACCATTCAAGCCGAGGACCGGAAGCCGAGATGGGTCGTGTGGGGCTCCCACCCCCGACATCCGGCCCGCCTCCGTCGAGTGTCCAGTGCTGTTTACCCCACTTTCCAGCCCATCGACCCCCATGCCCGCCCCCCTCCTCTCTGCAAGCTTGCACACTTCCTCCATCTAAACGGACTCTGCAGCGGGAATAGACACACTAGCCCCGGGGAATAGCGGATTCACCATGCTTTAGTGTCAGCCCGCCCTTCCCCCTTCGCGCGTGAACTGCTGGGGCAACAGACAGAAAGCCTGCCGTGCCGTCCACCACATACATACCCGCTATTGCGTGATTGGGTCTCTTGCAAAATTTTGATAAGTGAGCAAAAGGGGGACGGGACATAGTATACGTACGCCTGGAGAGAGCGGGCGGGCGCCGCCATCAGAGATTACATGGTCAAGTCAGGTAGGTAAGCCGCAACAGGCCTCTGGTGCAGTAGTCACTGGACGGTTGCTGACCTCTCGTGAGTCACAAGACGGCTCAGCGCTGACGCCGGGCCGCGACCGGCGGCGGTAGCGGTAGAAACGGCGGTGGACAGCTGTTGGTGGTGGCTGGGAAGCGGACAGGGCAGACAAAAGAACCCCCTCTCGATGAATTTGGAAGGATTTGAGAGGGGGCAGTAACAAGGAATCGGCCTGGGGCCGCATGCCTCGCCGGCTTCTTACAGCGCATTGCAGTGTGTAGGGGAGCGGAGAAGTTCAAGGTTGCCCGCCGCAAACCGGGGGTGGACCGTGGCAAGAAAAAAAAGCTGAATGCGGAAGCCAATTCTTCACACACTCTCTCTCACTCTCATACTTTTTTCTTTTTCTTTCATCATCTTTGACTCATGACGTTGTGTCATTGACTGGAATGGACCCTTGAGGCTCAAGTCGTAAAGTTTGGGATTACATGCAATTCTGCGCAGGAGCTTAGATTGCTTGCATACAATCAACTCAATTGCAACCTCATTCTGTCTTGGCCCAGGATTCACATACATCTCATTTCAAGGTTCACCCACCATCCTGCTCACACGAGCCTCAAACTCTGAAGCCAATACTAACTCATGAGTTCAGTTTTCAACAAGATTGAATCCGGAATAACACCAACCAAAACAAATCATGGCTCCCAAAAAGGGGACCTCGCCGTCCTCGGACGAGAGAACGCCTCTCATCCCCTCCATCGAGCACCAACCAGCAACGCCCCTCCCCATCGGCTCGGAAACCAACGCCATCCCGCCAAACGAATTCGACCTCCTCCTCTCCAAGTCCCTCCCGACCACCGGCCCTTTCCTCGAGCCCGAGTCCACCGTGAACCCGCTCCTGCGCGGGCCCCGCCGCTACTCCAAGACCTCCAACCGCCGCCCGTCCCTCGCCAGCCGCTCCGATCGCTCCGACTCCGGCCTTGAGACCGCCGTCACCGTCGCCGACGACGATGCCTCCGACGCCGCCAGCATCAGCAGCGTCGAGTCCACGCCCTACCTCAACGGCATCTCCCGCTCGCGCTTCTGGTTCATCTTCGCCGAGATCCTGCTCACCTACTTCATCGCCTGCTTCGACGGCACCATCATGGCCAGCAGCCACCCCGTCATCACCTCCTACTTCCACGCCTCCAACAGCGCGTCCTGGCTCTCCACCGCCTTCCTGCTCACCAGCTCCGCCTTCCAGCCCCTGCTCGGCCGCCTGTCCGACAGCATCGGCCGCAAGCCGCCCTACGTCGCCACCATGGCCATCTTCTGCGTCGCCACCGTCTGGTGCGCCCTCGCCCAGAGCATGACCAGCTTCATCCTCGCCAGGGCGGCCTGCGGCCTCGGCGCCGGCGGCATGATGACCCTGGGTAGCATCATCGTCAGCGATCTGGTGCCCATCGAGTGAGTCCCCCCTTTTTCCTCCCCTTCGATATCGGGGTAGTATCTACGCCCACACAAACAACTAACACACTCTCCAGAAACCGCGGTGCCTACCAGTCCTACATCAACATGATCTACGGCGTCGGCTCCGCCCTCGGCGCGGCCCTCGGCGGCGCCATGGCAGACCACCTCGGCTGGCGCTGGGAGTTTGGCATCCAGGTCCCGCCCCTGATCATCTGCTGCATCATCGCCGTCATCGCCGTGCCCGGCGACCTCGGCCTCCCGCGCGGCGCCAAGCGCGAGACCCTCGTCGAGGCCCTGCGCGCCTTCGACTTCAAGGGCTCCGCCCTCCTCACCACCGCAATCACCTTCTTCGTCCTCGGCCTCAACCTCGGCGGCAACGTCCTGCCGTGGTCCCACCCCGTCGTCGTCGCCTCGCTCGTCATTTTTGGGGTGTCCTTCCCCGTGTTCTTGTACGTCCAGTCGTACGCCGGACGGCCCATCATGCCGCTGTACCTCGTCCGCCACGCCCCGAGGGCGAACCTCATCTTTTCAAACTTCTTTGCGGCTTTGTTGAGTAACGCCATCCTGTTCAACATGTACGTCTCTACCTTTCGATCCAGACTCCCTCCCTCACTAACACCACGCTCCAGCCCCCTCTTCTTCCAAGCCGTCCTCCTAACAACAGCAACCTCCTCCGGCCTCCGCCTCGTCCTCCCCTCCGTCGTCTCCTCCATCGTCGGCACCGCCACCGGCTTCCTCATCACCTACACCCGCCGCCTCAAATGGCCCCCGCTCTCCGGCGCCTCCGCCCTCTTCGTCGGCTGCCTCGCCCTCTCCCTCATGCGCCGCGGCTGGCCCTCCTGGCTCTACCTCCTCTGCCTCGTCCCCTCCGCCGTCGGCCAGGGCTTCCAGTTCCCGGGCACCTTCATGGCCGTCCTCGCCGCCTCCGACCAGCGCGAGCAGGCCGTCGTCACCAGCACCCTCATCCTCTGGCGCTCCCTCGGCATGGTCCTCGGCGTCGCCAGCAGCAGCCTCGTCGTGCAGAACGCGCTCGTCGGCTACCTCGACGATTTCGTCACGGGCCCCGACAAGGACGAGGTCATCCGCAAGGTGCGCCAGAGCGTCGAGGAGGTCGTGAAGCTGCCCGAGGTGTACCGCGAGCAGGTCGTCATGAGCTACGAGGCGGCACTACGGCTGACGTTCGTCTGCTGTACGGCGATTGCGTTTGTGTCGGTGCTGACGCTGGTGCCGATCAAGCTGCCCAGGCTCGGTTCGCGTAAATAAGGGGTACTGATAGTACTTTACATGATTTCAAGCACGATGTTGAGAATGATATATAAAGCATAGCATCAAATGGCGTTGGATGGGATCACATAATAAAATTTTCAATTTGCCATGCCCAGGCGTTATAAGCCAGCCAGCCCACCACCCCGGTGTTTTCACAAAAAACCCAATCGTACAGTACAATACATTCTAATAGTGTCCGTTCACCCCGTTGCTGCGGAGCGCGTCCAGCTCCTCCTTCGTCTTGCGGTAAAGCTCCTGCGCCTCGCGCTCTCTCCTGCTGACGAATCCGACCTCGTCTCTGAGGGCACCCAGGCGCCGTTGGATGGCGACCTCTTCCGAAATGGCGAGGGTCTTGAAGCCGCTGAGAGCGTTGTTGGCCTTCTCCAGAGCCTCGGCGGCCTCGCCAATCTTGTCCTTTAGCATCTTTTGCCTCTTCTGGTAGCCGCCAAGGTGCAGCGCAAGCTTCTTCTCCAGCTTGATGCCCTTTTCGGCAGTGGCCACGATGGCGTCTTGAATGGACTGTGACATCGTTAGCTAATGATTCGTAGAGATCAATTCGTCTCTGGACTTACATCAAAGGCATCTCTCATAGCTGCCTCTTCTTCCTCCTCATCTTCGCCGTAGCAGCCAAGTCCCAGAAGCAGGGAGTTCTTGCCGCGGTTGTCAAAGGACTGTTGAATCTCGGCCCGAGACGGTCTGGGGTTGGTCTCACTCAGAATCTGCAGGCGGGCCTCGGCAAGATCGTTGTCGCTGATGGTTTGCAGGCGAGGCGGGACACCGCTTACGGTAATCTTGGGTGAAGGGTACTTGACTGCGTCGTTGGCAATCAACGCAGCCGCCTCTCTGGCAATGAGCGCCTCCGCCTCATTCTTCACCTGGCGTGCAACAGACAGAAGCGCAGTGACGTCCACCTGGCTTGGCCGGGGCAGGTTCTTCTGCATGACCTGTGTCCTTCTCTGCATCTCCAGGGCGTGCTGCGCTGCCTTGTACTCGGCTTCTCTGCGGTCTCGTTCCGCAGCATCCTCGAGCATCATCTCGTCGGTTGCTGCCAGCCCCTTCTGTTCATCAGGAAGCTCCAGCTCCCATTCGGTGTCTTTCGGTTTGGGCAAAGACGCCAAGCCTTGTCGTAGTTGACTCCGCAGAGCCATGTCTCTCATCTTCACGTCTCTCGGGGTGGCGCCGACCACAGTGCCGTCGTTGGCGTTCAGCGCAAAGCTGTCGCGGGGCGTCCTCATGGGGGTCTGGCCAACTCGAGCTGGCGTTTGACCAACGCCGTTGGCATGCATCGGCGTT